GACAAACCAGTCTATTGTTACTCAGATCCTCCTTCCCCCCCGGTATTCCTGTGGACGATCTATCAGCCCCACCATCTCAGTGTTCATGAGCCACAACTGGTACCTCAAGGTATGTAGAAAAAACATATAAACTGTGTCTATAGCCAAATTGTTGATTCTTTGAATCAGAATTGAATATTCAGATTTGGCCAAATTGAATAGGGACAGTGATCTGAATCACTGTCTCATGAATTGGGCTGAATCCAAGTCCAAATCAAATACTGCCCACTTTGCACACCCCCTACTGAGTAGCTACTTAGCTGATAAACCATCTTGCAAATACCAACTTCCTCAGTCTCCTCAGTACTCTTTACCCCTTACTCAGTACTCAGCACTCCTTACTCAGTACTCCTTACTCTTCCTCAGTACTCCTTAGATAGTATATTCAAATTATGTAGTATATTCAAATTATAACTCTTATCACTACATCTTTCCTCTTAACAATTAGTAAAAAATCTGTTAACACATAAATCAATTAACACCTATCTACAGAGGAGAGGTTACTAGCACTTCACTCTGAAGTGAGTTTTTACCATTCATTTTTCTATCCTCCTTTTTCTGTAGCTCCTTTAGCAAGTCTCTATGGGCATTTGTACACACACTTGCACCACAGTGCCAGGTGATTTTAAAAGTTCCCATTGCTGCAGTGCGTGCGTTTGTATAAATGGCAAAATGCACATCAGCACTGAGAAAATGATGGTGGCACACTTTTGAACTAAAATGCATTAAAGGTGTGTTAGTTCAAAAGTGCACCACCACCATTTTCTCAGCAATGATGCACATTTTGTCATTTATACAAATGCATGTGACACTGCTTCAGGCACATCAGCTTACATGCAGAGCAGACTCAATTAATTGAGTCTGCTCCAATATGCTAGATTTCCAGTGCATCAGAGGAGACAAATGTATGTATATAAATGCCCTATGAGTCTTTCAGGCGGTTTCACTTTCTTCTCAGACAAATGAAGTATTGGAACCAGTTTCTGATTTGATTTTGGTGGGAAGCTTTTCCTCCAGGTCTTGATAAACTTGAGTCTTTATACTGGGATCCTATGAACTTGCTCTTTGGAAGCTATACTTCTGTTCATTAGCTATAGACCACTGAAGCTGATTTCCATTTTCTGCATGACTGAATTTGTGTCCATAGGTACATTTCTTCCCATAAGAACAGGGTTGCTTCTTGTGTTTTGAAAGAATTACTTTGTTCCTAAGAATCTTGTCCAGATATAGGCTGTTACAGCCAAGATGATTACCAGGAAGCATGAATGTTGTGTCTTCTTGTACCACAAGGACACATGTATCTGTCTTGTTTCTCACAAGCTGCCAAACCCCAAACTGCTAAACTGAGTGTGGGCAGTTTTGCCTAGCGGTTAGATAACTGAAGCATGGATGCAATCCAGGATGGTTTCCCAGGAGCTGGGGGTACAGGTGCTGGTGCTGGAACTGGAACTTGGAGCCATATCCAAAGTCAAGATAGACCAAGATCAAAAGCTGGAGCAGAGGACAGGCTAAGCCAAGGGTTAACCAAGATCAGTAATCAAAAGCCAAAGCCAGAGAAATCAAGTCAGAATAAAGAACAGATAACCAGAATTAGGGAATGCCAGGGGTCTTACCAGAATTTGAAGCTAGAGTCAGAGCCAGGAAGCAAAACCTGAGAGCCAGTGGGGAAGCATGTGGAGGGTCAGAAGCAAGAGTTTCCAACTTTTCCCAGCCAAGGATACTGTGGGATGGGTCTGGCTTTTAGGCTAGGGACAGACATTACACATAAGCCACTTTAAGTGATCAGAAACTGGTTTAAACCTGTAACAGAACAGATGTTCAGCGCACATAAACTGAAAATGCCTGAAACAGGTTTGAGATAAACCTGGTTGAATGTAGTATCAGATCTAACTGATTTCACTCAAACCAGTTTATGCAATGTCTGTTCCAGGCCCCTTGCTGGTTTAAGATAAACCAGGCTCCCCCAGCATCCTGGCATGCTCTCTGCTCCACAACAGGGCTGGCCCCTCCCCTCTGCTCCCTGGCTGAAGCTCTGGCAGAGACTGCAGGTACAGCAGTGTCTGCCTGGCTTCCCCCTGCCCTACACCCCTCTCCCCCTCACTGCTTGCTGCTGAAACAGGGATCTCCTCTTCCCCTCTCCCTCCCTCCCATCTCCCACAGCACAGACCTCAGCCCCACAGACCCTAGGTACATGCTATGCTAGCTAATGCCAAGAGGAGTCTCTGTGTGTGAGTGTCTCCAATTTCACTGGGACAGGCAGACAGAACAGTGACAGCTTAGGGATTTTTGGAGCTAATCAACAGGTCAGCTGGTAAGCAGTTTAACAAGACTTTGAACTAATGGAGAGAGGCTATTGTTTTACTGATGATGTGATAAATACTGTTACCAGCCCCCTGCTGGCTTGCTTGCCTGTCAGTTTGCTGCAGACAGTATAGAGAAGCAGGAGATGGAGACTGAAAAGCTCTGTATCAACAGATGCATGCACTGCACATCCCCACTTGCCTCAGAGTGCTAGCAGAGATCTGAGGTCTGGCAACACTCCCATCCCTTGAGCAGCCAGCGGGGAAAAGCCTGGGATGGTGCAGGAAGGGTGGGGTTTATACACCTCCCAGATCAGAGCATCCTCCTGGTGCCTGGCTATGCCTTGCCCCATTCAGCTCAGTAATATAGAAGGGAAGGGAGGGCTGCTCTAGCACCCCCTCGGCTTCTAGTCTAAGCCACCGCAGGCATGTGCCTGAAGTTCCTCAGTCCAGAGAAAATGTCTGTCTGGTTGCAAACCAGTTCAGCCTAGGCACGTTAGACTAACCTGCAAAGATTGAATCAATTCAGGCTAAGGCTTTTTGAATGTCTGTCCCTAGTCTTTAAGACTGGAGTGGGTGGGCCTATTGTGTGTGGCTTCAGGGATTTGGCTGCCCTGACTGCTTCACTCAGCCCAGCTGGGGCCAGGTTGCTCCTCTGGGCTTGCTCCATGTGGCGCTTGTTCATAGGATGAGTTGTCCTGGTCTCCTAACTGGGACCGGCTGGATCCAAGGTTCTGATCTAAACTCATTACAGTACCACAGTGAATGGGAGTTTATATGCTCTGTTTTTATATTGGATACCAGCAATGCATCTCTCTTTCAGTGTTATATTTTTTCCTGAGTAGCCAGTTGTTTTGATGTTTGTTGAATTCACTTTTGGTCTCAATTTGAATTTTCTACATTCATGCTCTGATAAAAAACTAACCTGAGCTCCAATATCCAATTTGAAATCATTAGGAGCGTTTTCCACTTCCATTGGAAAAATCTTCTCCCTCTCATTGATTTTACTTGGTTCTACCCTATCTATATAAAATTGTTCTCAGCTGTATTCACTTGAGGTTTTTGTGTTTGGGATCTACAGCACTTGGAAAAATGGTTCCTTTTGTTACAGTTAAAACAGCTTTCCAAAAGGATCAGAACATTTGGGGCTATATTACTACCTGCCACACTTGCTACATATCTGCTTGTTTGCTCTCTCCTGCTCTTCCTCTGCATTCTCCTTGTCAATGGAAAATTCTGACTTGTGAAGTGACTTTTTCTTTCATGCCAACTGTATGAATGACTCCTTTTGGTGCATTCAACTCTGCAGTCTTCACCTTTGCTTTCTGCTGCCCTGAATATGTGGTTAGTTTTTTCCAGAGATGTGTCTCCCTCAGACAACAACCTTTCTTGTAATGCAGTGTCTGCAATGCCACAAATAATCCTATCTCTAATCAGGGATACTGTCAAGTATCCAAAAGCACAGTTTTTACTCCATCTATTTGGTTCAGTAACATACTGATGTATACTTTCTCCCACTCTTTGTCTCCATATAAAAAAATCTGTGTCTTTCAAGATCCTTATTCTTTTTTGGCATGCAGTACTCCTCAAATTTGGACAGTATCTTACCATCTCCCAATTGCAAACTTCCTCAATCATCTTGGTTAGGGAGGACTTTTAAGCTATGATTTCTAGCATGATATCCATTAATTAGGAAGTTGCCCCTCCCCCTGTGACCAGTGTTTTCCATAAATATCCACATTCCACAAGAACAATGAAATGGTCATCAAAACAAGTCATTTACAATGCTTGATGAGGGAAAGAAGAGGAAGATATATCTTCTTTACATATCTTCAGGTGTGGCAATGGGTGTGGTATAAAAATAGATTTTTAAATTTGATTTTAATTGATGCAAACTGGTTTGGGCACTTAAAGCAGCACAAGGACTGTGGGGCCTTTACAAAAATTAATGTATTCTAGGATCAGGATTTGGGAGTGAGAGGGAAGGAGGGGTGGCAAAATGTTGGTGTACCGGACAGACTCCTATTTCAGAATAATTGGATCATTTTACTAAAGCAATCAGCAGTGAAATGGTTATATATATCGGGTTGAATTTTCAAAGAAGCCTAAAAAAATCAGTATGCAAATCTAGACCTGGGCAACTGGCTCACTGACGTTTTATCTTAACTGCCAAAAAAAAGAGATATGTTCCTACTGTGGGATGCATATTACTTATCTTGCTATAAAACCATAGTTTTTAGTTGACACCATGAGATAAAGTAGTTGAAGTCGACCCCAAACAAGTGTAGACATTTAGCTGCTTCATAGAAAACACTACCAATGTGTTCTCTGCTGTAGCAGGATTGGAATGTTTGTAGACATGGTGGTCCAGAAAATCTCTCATTGTCTCTACTATGACTTTTTTTCAGCAGGTCACTACTTAGTAAGCTATTTAACATGTTAAAACTATATCCATCACTTCTGAACGTTATGGCTAAAATCAAATTGGGGATTTCTAGTTTACCAGGCTTGTGGGCCTAGGGTTTGCAGGTAGGATGCCAGGTAAGTAGAAAAATATGGCTCAGGAATATTAATAAACATGGATGTTAAGCATCAGTATTTTGGATTTGACATTCCATTGGTCATGGTAAAATTTGGATTTGGAATTTAATTGGCTATAGACTGATATATATATATCAGTCGTATAAACCACATGCACATATATACACATATACATATAAAACCACCCTTTCTATACCAAGTTGTTTTTACATGATAGCTCCTGTATATTCATTAAAAGTTATTTTTAAAAATCCAAGTAAAGGTAAGACTATATTAAAAAATCTTAGAGTACATGTTTAGAGAAAAAAAAAATCTTGGTCTAGCCAAGGCCATTGACTTCATTGAGAACTATCTGCATGTAATCAAGAAGAAAAATCTCATTGCTGTCATCTTAGTCACCTAGATATATTTAGTGATACAGACACCTTCTGCTGAAGAACATTTAGTAAAGTATTATACTTTAGTAATTATACTAATTAAAATACTTAGCAGTCATATAGCCCTGCATTTGCATTGTGCTTTTTACTTTGAAAATGCTGCACAAATATTATCTAATTAATCCTCATAACATTCTTTTAAAGTGAGTATGTATTATACTCACTTAATGGATGGGCTCACTGTAGTCATTTGACTTACCCAACACTATTCAGGCAGAGCTAGGACTATTACTGTGGGGTTGTTATAATCAGAGAGGGAACAGTTCATATGCAATCAATGCCTTCCTAGTCAGATATTCATTCCTTGAGAATGTGTAGGGCTACGGTGCACTGCTCTTTAGATTTATGGGCACATTAAAAAATATTTCAAAGGGTTAGCTCTCCACAGCATCCAAGCATTTCTATTCTGACCGCAAAGTCAGTTCCATATTTATAGAAATACTCAGCTTCATCGTTTTAATCCACTTCAAACACATTTAGGAAAGGTGTGGAGGGGAACCCTGCTAACTGTGGCAAGGGTCACTTAGAATGGGAATGCACTGTAGAAAAATTGTATGGGCTAATCCACAGGGGATTTAGCATCACCTGCCCCTTGTCACTTGAAGAATAAAGGTAGAGTTATAACAGGCCTCAAAGCAATTGTGCAAACCATTATCTAAGGATCTGGAAGACAATAGGTGAAAGTGGGGACTATATAGTGTTTAGCTTGGTCCAGACCGCAGGAAAGGCAAAGTCAAGGCAAAGTCACAATGGGGGAGTTTTAGGTTTACATACAACTTCTGTGATACAAGCAGATATAAAAGGAACATTGAATATAGGGAATGGCTTTTAAATAATGACCTGATAAGGCATGCTCTGCAAATGTCTACTATAACAGTAAGATTTTAATACTGACATAAGAGCTTCATTCCTATTAAGCAACACAGTGAAGAAAAAGAGAACACTGTTGCAATTAGCAGATCCTTATATATAAATTGCTTCTCCCAGCCTTGGAATGCAGCCATGTTTGAGATGGAGTGCAGCAGCTTTCTGACAGTGCCCCGGAGCACTACACAACAGCTTAGTAAAGGAAATGAAGAAGAATCCCAAAACTGATTGCAGCTTCTGGGGGAATTCAAGGAGGTATATTTTTATCTATGCAAATCACATTTCAGCTAAAGACTCGGGTTAAACAGACTTATAGAAAAGGGGTCAGAGTCTCAATCTGATATTCCATACAAAAGATAATGGTCCAAATTCATCCCTGTCCCATCCAGCTGAAGCTGGGACAGGGAGTGAGCTGCAACTCCTTCTGCCACTATGGGTGTTAGGATGCCCTATATTTAGATTACAGCTACAGTCTTACTCCCAGGCTACCCTGAACAAACATAAATTACATCAGCCAAAAAATAGCAAAGACCCACCCTGTGATACTCATTTCCATCCCTGCACTATTGGGTACAGCCAGCCTTACACCAAAAACAAGCCTCCACAAGGGCTTTGAGATAACATTACTGCTCCATCTGCTGACTTAAGGGCCGCAACACACTCAAATGTCCCTTATAGGCTAGGGACAGACACTCAAAAAGCCTGAGCCTGAATTGATTTAATCTTTGCAGGATAGTCTAATCTGACTAGGCTAAATCAGTTTTGTAACCAGACAGACATCCTAGAAATGCAGGCACGTGCCTGCAGTGGCTCAGGCTACAAGCTGAGGGGAGCTAGAGTTGCCTTCCCTTCCTTCCACAGCATGAAGTTGAGTGGGGAGTGGCCAGGCTCTGGCAGGACCTCTGATTAAGGAATTGATAACAGCATTTATCACTCAATTAAGGGACTTGATAAAAGTATTTATTAGCCACTTAAGAAAACAACAAAGGGACATTAACAGCTACTTGTTGATTCTGTCTGTTGATTCTACCTGTTGATTCAGCATGGTATAGCCAGCATGTGGTCTGCTTGCTAATACACAAACAGCTCCTCAGCGAGGCAGAGTGGAGGGGGGAATTCCTGCTTAGCAGGGAGTGGTGAGGGGAGGGTGGAAATAGCCTGCAGTCTCTGGAGCTCCAGCCAGGGAGCAAAGGGGAGAGGCCAGCCCTGCTGTGGAGCAGAGAGCCCCACCCAGCCTAGAGAACATGCCAGGATGCTTGGGGTGTCTAGTTTATCTTAAACCAGTAAGGGGGCTGAAACAGACATTGCATGAATCAGTTTGAGCCAAATCAGCTAAATCTGATACTACATTCAACCAGGTTTATCTCAAACTGGTTTCAGCCATTCTCCAACTGGTTTATGTGCACTGGATACCTTTTCTGTTACAGGGTTAAACCAGTTTCTGATCACATAAACCAGTTTATGTGTAATGTTTGTCCCTAGTGTAAAAATACCCTTTAAAATAGCACATTGCTCTTGGGTGCTGAAATACCTTCTCCTGCATGAATACAATCTAATTCATGGAATTCATTCTACAAGTAAAACCCCGATAACATGTGGAGTTTTAAGGCTTCTGTTCTGTGTATCAGTACACAATATTTTTAGCTATCTGTTCCTCTCTTAAGTATTTACAAACCATATTTACAAACAATCTATTTACACAGAATCCAGGCACAAACAGATATTTTATCTGTTATAAATCAAAATAAATCTGTTATAAAACAAAAGAAAGAAAGTAGAAACCAAGTCATATCTAGGGCCCTGTTTCATAAAGGCACTTATATGTAAGAAAAACTTTAAGCATGTGCATA